GCACATATAGCCGAAATCGTCTCGAGTTGCTGGTTCGCCCGAGCGCAAAAGGCCTCGAGTGCAAAGGGTTAAGAATATTAAATGATGTTTTAATTAAACGACTCGGTACGCAGACGAAGGGTTAAATAGGAAACTGAGGGTATCAAAGGGTATCCTGTTTTTTTTCCTCCCAAGCATTGAAGTCTCTGCTGAAGTTCATAAGCAACGATTGGCTCACGATGACCAAGGAGACCGAATGGGTGACGATGATAAACATCGCCAGGTTCAACAGGAAGATTGTAAAGATGAGCACGATACTCTGCTGCAGCGTAGTGCTCACTTACACATTCCTACGGTTCTTCTCAATGAAATATCAGGGAAAGAGTCTGCTGTTGCGCGCTTATTTCCCTTACGACGTCGACGTCAGCCCAAATTACGAGCTGACTATGCTGGCTCAGCTCGTCGCTGCGTTTTACGCGGCTATTTGTTACACGGCCGTCGACACGTTCGTCGCTACGCTAATTCTACACATTTGTGGACAGTTGTCGAACTTGCAACGTGAATTAAAAGAGCTGCGAGGTCCCGACGAGAAGGATTTCAATGGAAGGATTATGAAAATCGTTGAGAAACACGAATATCTGAACAGGTTGTGTGGATTTAATTATAATAATTATATTAATAATTATTATAGAATTATAGGAATGATCGATTCGTGTTTTATTGTCAGAATCATTAATTCAATTTAAATATTTAAGATTCGCGGACATGACAGAAAATTGTTTCAATAAGATGCTTCTGATTCAGATACTCGGCTGCACCGTTCAACTGTGCTTTCAATGTTTCCAAGCGATCATGGTACGAGTTTTGATCAACACTGAACTTATATACCAAGAAGAAATATAAATAAAACGAAATCTCTGCCATTTGCTCTCTCCTTGTTATCCGTTTTCTAATGCCTCTCTCTCCCTCTTACATATTTTGTACCTCCATTTCCGGTGTTCAATTTAAAATACTTTGAGTTGTTTTCTTACAGCCGGCTGACACAGAGGAAAATAATTACTTGCTTGTACAATTTCTATTTTTGGTACTCTACGTAATTTACGTGATGCTACAATTGTTCTTATATTGTTACGTAGGCCAGAAACTTTCTGCCGAGGTATTATTTTTCAATTTATTGTCAACTTTTTAATTGATAATGATTTTTATTTAGAGTATAGCTATCATTAACGCGGCGTATGACACCGAATGGTACGACATGCCTCCGAGGGACGCAAAATTGTTGATAGTAATTATGTGCCGAGCCAGATTACCGCTGCGAATCACGGCTGGAAAATTCAGTTCTTTTACCCTAAATCTGTACACCACGGTGCATTAATCATTTCATATATTCTTACTATTTAATTAACACTAGATTGCCCAAGGAAGTCATTTTGACTGCTTTTGGGCAAATGTACAAATAATAATGCATAAATTATTTTTTCCCAAGTGAAGTAAATTTTTTTTTTATTGTTAACATTTACTAATAACT